GGTGAAACGAGTATATTTTATCTCCTCTTTAGTTATAAACAAACAATACTTATATTTTCAAATTATTCCTTCAAAACAATTTTCCCCGGAATAACTTCAAACTTTGACATTGGGTTATTCCATGATTCTCATAATCTAATTCTTGATTGTTTATTTATTTATATAATTTGATGCAAATAAAAAAAAAATGTTATTCAATTTCTTGAAATTGAAGCTTACATTTAGAATAGCTTTTGCTGTATTTAGTAGATGCTTTACCTAGATATTACTTAATACTAAGGACCAAAGAGAGGGCTAAGTATTTGATCTTATGGTGTATTTGACTTTATTCATCCAATTGCAATAATTATTTTTGCCCAAAAGTCTTGTCTGTTTAATTACTTGTAAGTTGGCCGCTGTCTATGTTGGTAAGGATAAATGTACCTTATTGATAAAAGAAAATTAAAAACAAAAAAATATATAAATAAAGAACAAATGTACCAAATTTCTACGTCACTTTGATGTTTTATATACTGTCGGTGTGAGGTTTTATTTACGTTAAATGTCGTTTCAACTCTACTAATACTATTTCGACTTCGAACTTGATTTTGACATATTTCTATTTTGATTTTGGCAAAACTCGAAAAATGAAAACTGTAGCCATTTGGGTTAGACTTCTAATCCAATTGAAATCAACTAGATCGGATGTCGTGTGATAAAATTATGCATTAACGAGTCACATTTTGAATTTTAGATAATCCAATGCATCAAAGTCGTGGGCAATGTTTACTGATTAATGTATATCTTCCTAAGAAGACATTCAATTTTGGTGATTCGAGTTGGATAAGAATGCTAACTAAAAAACCTACAAATTCTATGTTTCGGGTTTTGCAAAAGTTGGAGTAAAAAACGATGAAAATTGCGTGTGAAAATCGTAACGGAATTAATAAAGTTCGACCGATATTTATCACATCCTTTTATTTATTTATTTTAAAAAACAAAATTATATGCTTGTGGATCAGAATTCAGAACCCCCCTCCATCACACCTAATCACAATAACACGAGAAATATAAACGTCACTTTCAACATTTGCATTATTAATTTAGCTTTAATAAATAATTAGATAATTAGATACATATCCTATAAAGAAATTTTCTAATAAGTAGCCAACCGTGTCCAAACACGTGTCCATTTATTGTCCAAATCCTAAGTCAAAAGTTGTTATTCCTTTTCCGTGTGCTATTACCTACTAGATTATTGACCCACTTTTCCAATATGATCACATAATATAATATATATTTAAATTACAAATTAAAACTTAAATTGTACCAAAGCCATCATGGTATTTAATATTTATTATTAGGATATTTATTATGTTTTTATGTAACTTTTAAAAATTTATAAAGAAAAAAGAAAAAGAAAAAATAAAAAATTTTTAATTAATCGTGTGAATTTACACGCCCGGGACCATTTCGCTTGTGTAAATTCACACGGGGAAAAATCCAACTCCTATTTTTTACGGAATTAAAAAAAAAAAAAAAAAAAAAAAAAAAAAAAAAAAAAAAAAATTTAATTCACACTCGAGTGAATTTACACGAGCGAAGTGGTTTCGCTCGTGTAAATTCACACGAGTGTTGCTAAGCTCGGTTTTTTTCGTTTTTTTTTTCGGATTCGTAATCTACATAACAAGAGGATCGTAAAAACGTAAAAATTACCTCTGATCTGTTGACGATTTGCACGGGCTTTGCGAATGAAAATCGAGAGGGTTGAGAGAGTTTTTCGAGTTTTTTACCTTTTGGTTTTTGAGAAATGGTAAAAAATGTGCCTGAATGTTTAATTTAAGCCTGCACAAATCATTTCAGATTTAACTATTCCCCACCAATCTTCAATTATTAATATTTATTATGAAAAGCATGTATTAAGCCATAATACTTAATAGAAATCCACTATCCACTCTAAGCAACCCGAATGACATTTTTATAATTATTTTTATTTTATTTTATTTTCTATTATTTTTTTTTCTTATCTCAATGAAATAGTTTTATGCTTTCTTTTTTATTACACTTTCTTTGTTAATAATATTTTTGTAATAATTTCTTTTTATGTTTCTTTCTCTGTCCAAATTCTAATTTTCATTATTGGAGAAAAATACTAGTAATATTAAAAGAAAATGGTAAATGGCAAATTGCACCCTATAATTACACTCAATTTGCACAATGCACCCTCAAATTGTATTTTTTTTGCAGATTCCACCCCACAAAAGGCTTATTATTTCAGTTTGCACCTTGAGCCCAATTTTGATGAATTTTCTACCGGAAAGCAGTTAAAAAAAAAAATGGGCATTTTGGTCATAACTTCATTTCCCCAAAATAAAATCAAAATAAGCCCCAAAACACTTTCTCTTGTGAAACACTGCACAAATATAATGAATAAAAAAAGATATATATAACACGAAAATCAACCAAAAAAATTATTTTCTTTTTTAATGATACCTATCTTCTTCTGCAAATACCACAAAATTTGAGGTGTATATATTCTAGGCTTATCTACAGAATTTATGCATAATCTCGCAACGTTTAAAAGCCCGTTAACCTCCCTTTGATCGTAGTTATTACCAAGATCGGGATCGATCATCTTATGTATCGATTTCGGAAAACCAGATTCTTTAACCCATTCGACTAAATCCACACCACCCTTGTTCGACGACTGACCCGTAATCAGCTCAAGAATCACTAACCCGAGTTGGAACATTATTTTTTTGCACCCCTCTTCCGTACATTCTGCAAAATATTACACGATTTTTTCGTAGTATAATTAATACCCTTTTTCGTATATAGAAGAATAAAACGATTAATAAACAAGATTTTTGCATAATTACTATTTATACCTTTTGAACAACGAGAAGAAGTTGGCAGCGTGACACGATTTGCAGCAACATTAAACAGGCTAATGTCTGAAATCTGCATCAAGAAGTCGAATGATTTTCTTGTCTGAAATATTCTCGTGCAATTAATTAAGATAAAACAAAAAAAATATTCGTATATTTACCTTTGGGATTAGATTTTCGTCCAGCATTATAGTGCTTGAGCTTATCGAGACGTGATAAACTGGTGGATCGCAGAAAAAATGCAAATATTCCTGCATTGTTTATATAAACGAGAGTAATTTATTTAGTATCCCAGAGTACAAAATAGCAAATAGGTAATTATTTTATACGATAATATTAAATGAAAACTAACCACTGCAGCCGCTATCCCGATTGCTATTTGTAGCCTCGTTCTCCAATTCAATGGAGTCTTTAAAGGATCTGAAAACGAGAAAATATTAACGACAAACGAAATCGAGAGACAAATTATTATAAACATTCGCTGCAAAATGTACCAGACAAATGCTCCTTTAAGCTTCCATTCTCAAAGTTTTCGAAAACTAAGAACCTGAAAAAATGTTTTTCCATTAAGAAAAAAAAAAAAAAAATATATATATATATATATATATATATATATATATATCATAAAGTGGTCAAGAAAAATGTAATCGAGGAGTGAATGAAGTTAGATTAATATATACCGCTTAGATCCAACGGAAAAGCCACAAAGGCGAACAATGTGGCGGTGATGAAGGCGGGCCAAAAGCTGAACTTCCCTATAGAAGGAATCATCGTCTTCTTCGAAAAGTTTGACTTCTTTGACCATAGCAAAACGGCCGTTTTGAAACTTGGCCATGTAAGAAGCCCCTTGAGACGAGTAATTGACGAGCCTTTTGAAACCATCGGTTGCCTTCTTTATATCTTTGTACGAGAGCCGTTTCACAAGCGACGGCGGACCTTCAAAATCCAAATAATCAACAAATTTTCGCTACTTAAAATCGTAGACGCAACTAAATTAAGATTATCAACAAATTTTCGATTCTTAAACACAACAATGACTTCCACAATTCCCATTTTCTGAATTTACATTCCTATCCCAATTCCAATCAAATCAAAACCAAAAACACACTTCATATCAACAATGAAAAATCTCTAGTGAATTTCAGGGGCAAAAAGGTAAATTACACAGTTGATCTACCATCTTAAGTCAACCATTCGTCTTACAGTAATGACTTCAATTTTCCTTTATTACCAATGCCAATTCCAACAAAATTTAATCTTTTAAAAAACCCAATTCTTGAAATCAAGAAACGCAGTACTATACATTATACAAGCTCGCAATTCTAGAAAATTGAAAAATGCAGATAAATTCACAGTGATTAATAGAAGCTGAATTTAAAAAACAGGAACCAACAAAGAAACGGGGCGGGCTTACCGGGTTTGGATCGGATGTGAAACCAAGCAAGAAGAAGCAACCTGATCTTGACGACCGAATTCTCAGTGCCCATTATTTTTTTGTTTTTTATTTTTTTGTGAAATTGTGAATTTTTTGACGATGATATTTTATCAGGGACAGAGGGGTGGGGGGGAGAATTAATTACAGGAGGGAAGAATCTTTGGATCCAAAGCCAAATGTTTCGCCTTTGAATAAGCAAAGAATAATAAGTAACTAGTAAAAATATTTTACATAATCGAAGTTTCTACTTTGTCGCAAGTAAAATCAGCTGCATATTTATTGGGACCATTTTTGGGTAATTTTGGCATGTGGGTTTCTTGCTGGCGGTAGGCCATATGATAATGTTTTTGAAAAGTTGACTACAAATAATATTATTTAATATATTTTATTTTATTTTTGGTAAAAAGGGCAACATTAAAGAAGGTTAAAGAGATTAAAAAAAATTGGAAAGTAGCCGCAGTGTGTTGTGGATTTTGGAGTAAATAATTTTCAAATGTTCAATTTTATTGATAAGAGTAAAGAGGGTGTGGCATATAATAAATCGAGTACGATCCCCTTAATAACATATTTTTCGTATCGAACTCGTCGCATAGAACTTGCCTAGTCAATTTACACATCTCAATATAGAAAACCATATATAGTTTACTAATGCAAATTGCAAACATGAAGAAGGTCCCAACATTAACATCAATTTTTAGCTACAAGAATTCCTAGCAGTTATTTCTAGAGCAGCCGTAACAATTTGCTTTGGTTAGAAACCCTAGCTCAACAAGGATACATCTCTCTATCATATTACAATATTCACCTATTCAATAAAAACCCGAACCAGATACAAAAAAAAATGCCCGTTTTAGCTGCCTGTCGTTGGTTCTTGCACCTCAAGATCCTTTTTGTCATCGGGTTTTTCGTCTTTTTGCTTCTCCTTCGAATTCTCCTCATCTACAACACTTGTACCTTGTACCTCGGAAGATGCCTCCTTAGATTCTTCAACATTTGAACATGGTACCTCGGAGATCTCCTCCTTCAGCTCTTCGGTTTTTGAATCTGCTACAACAGTAGTTGCATCATTAGATTCCTCAACTTTAGCATTTGAAGTTTCGTTGTTGTCATCATTTGGGGTCACAATAGTTGAAGGTTCCTCGAAAACTGCTGTCTCATCAGTCTCGATTTTCTTGTCTGCACTTTCAGTATCGGGTTTTTCTTCTGGGAGGGCATCTTTTGTATCCACAGCAGAAGCTTCTGGACTTTCTTTAGTTTCTTCTTTAGCAACATCTTTCTCATTCGTGTCTTCATTTTCTGCACGAGAATCACTTTCTTTAGCAACATCTTTCATATTTGTATCTTCATTTTCCGCATGAGAATCACTTTCTTTAGTTTCTTCTTTAACAACATCTTTCTCATTTGTGTCTTCATTTTCTGCACGAGAATCACTTTCTTTAGTTTCTTCTTCTGCAGCAGCATCTTTCTCGGCCATGGCTTCGTCTTCTGCATGAGCGGTACTCTTCGACGGAGCTCCTCCCTTTGTGGCGGATTTCTTTCTCTTCTTCTGTGGGGACTGACTTGCAGGTGCCTCAACTGCCTTTGATTTTTCACTTAACCTTGCAGAACGCCTTGGAGTGTCGCCTGCACAGGACAATTACGGAAAAGGTTGGTTCGCATTTGTCGCATAAAAAGATAATACAGAGATTCAATTTTCTCAGTTTCTAGCACTCTCAAAAGCATCAGATGTGTTCATTGAGTACCTGAACCCCAGTCGAATTCAGAGGCAGATGGTTCTCCAGGATGAGATTTGAGATACTGATCCAACTGTTTCTTGTTCTTGATCTCTTCTCCAGTGGGAGACACGAAAACAACGTCATTCCTCTGAGGGGTACCCCCTTTCTTTGGAGTAAACTGATGTTTTCACACGCAATGGTAAATAAGTAATCAATGTTTATAGAAAAATGAAAGGCGTTGGTTCGAAAACAACATGTAGAATGCACGAGTAACAACAAGCTCAAAAGGATAACAATTACGATTTTTTTTTCCAATTTTTCTTTCTTTTTTTTTTTTTTTTTGCGAAGGAGTACCATATCCGAAGACCATCCTCACTGCTCTTTCTGCATGTACCTTAACCTCGTATAAACCTAACAATCTACTTAAACCAGTACAGAACTTATTGTAGATCATTACACAATTCTACGAATAAGCAATTTTATGGTTATTGTACAGGTTCGACGCTATCTCAGAATATAACTCACACGTTACATTCCTTAACCCCAGATAAAACTTATAAATAAGACTGAAAAATAACAGAAATACTAAAAACGAACAATCTCAAACTCTTCCTAGAACTGCTTTGCTGGGAGTAACTGTAAAACAATCAAATTTCAAAACTAATTTACCATCTAACAATTCTAATTTCAAAACTCGGCGATTAACAGCAACAGGGGAAAAGCACGAAAAAACGAGATGCAGCCTAAAAAGATATAATTTCGCAAAAATTTCAGAGAAATGCACCTCAAAACTCATTATCATAATGAAAGCACTAATCTATTTCTAAAATGGGAACGATTGATTTTCATCAAACTGAAACTAATTATGCTGCTAAACCCTAGCTCCGGATACTTAAAAGCAGATAATTCAATTTCATCATTGAGGGGAAACACAAACAATTGAAAACCTAATCCATCTTCAAACAATTGAATTCGCACTGAATTTCACAATCTTAGAGCATCAATTACACCAAGAACATTTTTACTTCATTCAACTCGTAAACCTAATTGCCATAAACAAAAAAAAAATAGTAACAGCACAGAAGAACCTTCTTAGTCCAGCCGACTGGAGCAGGAAGCTCGATGGAAACGACGTCGTCTTGCTTATTCTCTTCGCTCGCCATTTCTCTGTCTTCTTCAATAAATTAATTTCACAAAAATCCCGAGCACAAAAAAAAAAAAAAAGAATTGGAGAAAAAAGAAATTTTCAATTCCGTGAATTGCAGGATTTTTTATTTTTTATTTTTTAATATTTTTATTAATGAGAGGTGAGGTGAAGAACGTGACAGGTGTGGTGGATCTGGACGTGACGGGAATTATCAACTGTTGTTAACCGTTCGGTTTGGAGTCCGGTTAGTTTGGCGGCACTGTCGCGCATTTCTTCTCTTTTGTCCTTTTCTGCCTTCTTTTCTTTCTTTTATTCAACTTTCAATATATTTTTTGGTAAATTCCACTTTCCCCGCTTGTACTTTGGTTCGGTATCACTTTACCCCTTCTACTCTCGATTGCATCGATTTGCTCCCATGTACTTGAAAAATTGTCTCAATGTGGCCCTCACTGCTAGTTGTCAGATATTTGACATTAACAGCGTTTGATCTAAGATCTCAAATTACAAAAATGCCACATCTCCCAGTTTAAATAATTATTAAAAAACAATAAAATAAAAACAAAAAAAATATAAAAATTCAAGAAAACGAGAAAACATAGTCCACGACACCAGCCACAATTTTTTTTTATTAATTTTTTTTTTTAATAATTATTTAAAATGGGATGTGCAGTTTTTTTGTAATTTTCAGACTTAGATCAAACGGTGTTAATGTAAAAGATCTGAAAACTAACGGATAGGGCCACATTGAGACAATTTTTCAAGTACATGGGGGCAAATCGATGCAATCGAGAGTAGAAGGTGGTAAAGTGATACCGAGCCAAAGTACAATGGGGGAAAGTGAAATTTACCCTATATTTTTCCCAACCCAAAATAAAATAAAAAAAGTAAAATAATTTTAAAAAACATAAGTAAGTATTAGGATTTCCTTAATATCATATAATATTCACACAATTTGGCTCACTTTATTAATATTCAATAACTACATTACACTTGATAATCAATAGGGTAAATTACAATCACCAGCTAAGGTAAGGTTTATTTACGAAAAAACCATTCATTGTTCCGTAATTACATCCACCCGTATAAATTTCTTACATTGACACCCTTTTGTAGGAGGTTGGATGTAAGCAATTTACAAACTGCAGGGGTTGTACGTAATTTCTCAAACATAAGGGGATTTTTTGTAATTACACCTGACCTCAGGGAGGTGTTTGTAATTTACCCTAATCACTAAATTACAATTTGGATTACTATATAAAAAGTTAATTACATTGCGCGCGGAAACAGCGCCGAGCGGCTGTCGGCATTGGGCATGTGACTGATTCTCGATCACCACCGTCAACCTGCAGTGAGAACCAACATTTTAAATTTTAATTAAATAAATACACTGTGTAATATTTTAAAATATTTGTTATTTTCTGAATTATTATTACAATTATAATAATAATTTATTTTGAAAGTCAAAAGGGAGAGCCTAATTAATTTAAGGCTCCCTCCTACCGCGCATAATGCAGCGCCGACGTAACGTTACGTTGGTTCTCATTTCTCCATACATTTTTTTCTCCCTCATGCATTAATTATTCATCTATTAATTAATCTCTATTTTTATTTTCAAAAAAAAAAAAAGTCTTCTTTCTTTTTGGGTTTTTCTGGGGTTTTTTTTTTTTAATTAATTAATTTATTTATAAAACTCTTGGAAAAAGTCCACTACTTATATTTATCATCTCGATCTCTCTCTCTCTCTCTAGATCTCTATCTCTCTCTCTCTCTCTTGAATATCTGTGTATTGACTTGGTTGTGCAAGTTGGATTGAGCCATCCCTTCTTCGGTTCTCCATACATATAAAAACCTTATCTTTATTTATATATATATATATATACATACAAATATCAAATCACACTGCACCTCAAGAAAGCCGTTGACATTTATTTAACCTAGATTTAATTAATTCATCTTCATTTTTTTCTTAGAATGGAAGAACCAATGGAAGAAATCGAGATCCCATGTTATTTCCTCTGCCCAATCTCCATGCAGCTGATGAAAGATCCGGTGACAGTCTCCACCGGAATAACCTACGACCGCAGCAGCATCGAGAAATGGCTCTTCACATGCAAGAACTCCACCTGGCCCG